AGTTGGGTCTAAAAGTTAAACCGTTTACCAACTATGAGGAGAATGAGGCCCTATCAAGCATAATGCGTAACATTTTCGTAATTGGCTTGTCAAATAATCCCCGTAAAACCAAGTTTTAGTGATTTTTTCTAACGTTGGAAACGAAGTTAACATGTTCGAGCATAACCAATCAGTAGGTGGCCCTTTATCTACAAACCTTAGAACTCGCTGAAACTTGTTCCGCAGAGGTTATTTGACATGCTAACAACGAAAATGATACTCACTATGCTTGATAGGCTTTCATTATGCTCACCCTGCATATACAATAACAGGCTGCATAATGGGATTATCTGGCGTTGTTAACGAATATCATGTTATCGCAGCATCAGTGCACCTCGAGCAGCCCCCTCCTTTCTGACCCTTCAATACGACCCCACAGGTGGAGATGCCACACACCTTACACCTGACCTGGATATCACTCAAATATCAGATGTTCTAGAAAATTGCCGAATCAGATATCGATCTCGCAGCATTCCAGTACTGCGTGACCGATGCGCATTTCGCAATTCGAAACATAATTCGTGCGCGTCGTGACATTCGTAAATTTTGTTTACAAAAGGATGTCAAATTGATGTAACCGTTCTTCGATGCCTTATCGATACTTCTCGTGTTCTAAGTACGTGAAAATATGGCCACAGACTAACGTACTGAATGGCAACCGAGTTACGCTTCGCTTTTATAATTAATTGAAGTGAAGGTTGCCATCACGGGTGCCACACGCTTGCTAACCTCTTCGAAATACTAACACAAGAGGTTATTCTTGTGAAATTCGCTAGTCGCCTAACTTGTCAACCGGAATCCTACCTTAAAGTGGCATTGACACATGACATATCTATCAGAAATGCTAGTCACAACAGTTGAGACCGTATGTGGAAAAAGCCAATACTCAAGAAGAATGGATTAGAGACATGTTGAAAACGTACAGCTCTATCGCAATCAAAAGCAAATTGAGATTGTGAGCGCAATACTGAGCTGCACTTAATGAGTCCATTGTTTTTTCAAAAAGTGTTGTAGTTTCATGGACTTCATTCAATGCCCTTCCCGCGACTGGTCGGCCATTCTGATCGCTCCCACCTCACCAGCGACAGTGAAGAAACCTTGGTTTAAGAAGCCGTGGAGCAGGACTAAGTAAGTTCCATGTCAATCACGAACTGTGCTTCAACTTCAAGTAATGTGCCAAGAAGAGG